GGGGGGGGGGGGGGGTATCAAAATCTGTGCCTTCTGCCCACTTTGGCTGTGAATCTCAAACTTCCCTGAAAAATAAAGCCTATCAAGAAAAATAAACAGTAAAATAAAAGGCAACACAGTATATTCATGCTCGTTGAATGACTGTAACGTCCTCAGCACAAACGCCAAGACTGTGATACTCATGGTGACACGGAGGATGTGGGTGGGGCCTGGACAATGGAAGGCACCAGAAAGCTTTTTTATGTGTTTTTCTTTTTCAATGACGTGGAGGTGTTAGCTTTCTAGAAATCCAATTAAAGGGGCGCCTGGGTGGCTCAGTCGGTTAAGCGTCCGACTTCGGCTCAGGTCTCGATCTCGAGGTTCGTGAGTTCGAGCCCCGCTGTCAGCACAGAGCCTGCTGCCTCCTTCGGATTCTGTGTCTCCCTCTCTCTCTGCCCCTCTTCTGTCTCTCAAAAATAAATAAACGCTAAAAAAAATTTTTTTTAAATCAAAAACGTTGTGATTCCCAAATACACCGCTAACAGTTTCTTCTAGTTTTCACGGCCTCTGAAAACCCGGTGAACGGAAACAGACAACCACGGCCGGTTCTGGGCTGCCTGCGGCATCTGTGTATTTTGCTAGTAAAATGCGAGTTTGCAGTCCCCTCCCGGGACTAATAATATACACCGAGTACTGGCATTCCTGATTTAACGTTAGAGCGTCTTCATTAAGGAGAGCAAGGCCGTGTTTAGGTTAATTATAATGGGAGTAAATGGTCATCTAGATGCCGCTTGCCTGCAGCATGGAGGTGGGGACCTATTATTCTGGTGGGACGGCTGCAGGCCATACCCGCAGACTCAGATTTTTTTTCCTCCCTGTTTAAAATTAGCACCTGTCCAGGGGCGCCCGGGTGGCTCGGTCGGTGGCGTGCCTGACTCTTGATTTAGGTTCAGGTCCAGATCCCAGGGTTGTGGGATTGAGCCCCACACTGGGTTCTGCACTGAACATGCAGCCTGCTTAAGATTCTCCCTCTCTCCCTCTCTCTCTCTTCCTCTCCCACTGTGCCCTTCCCCTGATCATGCCCTCACTCTTCTCAAATTAATTAAAAACTGAAAAAAATTTTTAAAAGCACCTGTCCATGGCCCCAAGGCCTCTGAGCACCTGGAAATGGTTTTATGCTGTGAGACAGAGGTTTGCCACGGCTCTGAAAAGGTTCTTGAAAATGAGGCAAACATTTAAACATGGTTTGAAAAAATGAACGCCAACCCAGTTTAAAACCAAGAGCTTCTAAGCAGCAGGGTCAACTGTGAGTGACCTTGTGGTTACGTGAACTTGACTGTGGTCTCGTGGCTGGCACGGTGGGCAGCTGGTAAGGCTCCAGCTCTGGCATCAGACGCTCGTGAGTGTTCTGGGAAGGCCTGAGCCCCTGGGACCTTGTCTGTGCAGCTAGGGGAACCGGGCACAGAAGTGGCTGGGTGTGACAGAGGACGCCTAAGTGGCAGCTGTTAGCAGTTTTTATTAGGACACACACGACAGAGGGGACATGACAGAGCCCAACGCCTCCGGTTGTGTGTCCCCCACCCCATCAAGGTACAGACCAGTCCTGTCTCCCCGAATCCCCCGGCCCCTTCCCTCTGCACTTAACCCCTCCCCGCGAAATCCTGGTAACTGCGGACCTCATCTCCCATCTCAGAGCTGGGCCTTTACAAAACCGTCCTCCGAGAGGAACCAGGCAGTAGGCAGGTCTTGTGTATGTTTCCCCTCAGCAGGCGGCCCCGGACGCTCACCCACGCTGCTGCGGGCGACCACAGGTCACTTGTTCAATAGCTTCGTTGGGTAATATTTACGTACTGGACCTTTCACTTTTCTAAAGCAAACAAGTCTGTGTTTTCTAGCACGTTCCCAGGTGTGCATCCCATCACCACGACCTAGTTCCGGAACATTCCGCCTCCCCGGAAAAGAACCCCATCTCCCTCGGCAGTCACCCCTCCCCCACGCGCGCGCGCGCACACACACACACACACACACACACACACACACACCCCGTCTCCCCAGTCTCTGGCAGCTGGAACTCATTTCTTTGTCGGTGGATGAGCCTGTTCTGGACATTTCACATAAGTCGAATCATATACTCTGGGGCCTCTCGTGTCTGGTTCCTTCCCTGGGCGTCGTGTGTTCAGGGTCCCTCACGGGGCAGCGGGTGTGGGCGCCTCCTCGCTGCTGTCCGTGGCCAAGTGATGTTGCCCTGCGTGCGTGGTGGACACACTGCGTGTATCCACTCACCTACCGACGGACACTGGGGCTGTTTCCCTCGTTGGCCACTGTCAATCCCGCTGCTGTGACAGTCGTGCACGTTACCAGTGGGCAGACCCCTAGCAGCGGAAGTGCCAGGTTACAGGGCAAGTGTACATTTGACTTGGTAAGAAATGGCCACTCTGCATCCCCACCAGCCACGGCCAAGCGCTCCAGCTGCCGGGCCTCCTGGCGGGCACTGAGAGATTAGGAGTCACCCTGGATCTAATGTCACCCGACAGCACCGGCCTCCCAGGCGACCCCCTGCAGAACGAACCACTGGCTGTTCCCCCTCAGACGCCTCGGGTCCGAGCTGCTGGAGAGCGGGGCACTGGGAGCCGGCTAGGAATCAGGGTTTCTTCTCTTCTCTCTGCTGGTGACGCTTCTGCAGAGAGGCCGCGACGGCCCCCCGGACTGCCGTTCCAGCTGCTCCGAGGGCCACCTCTGCTGTGCTGCCCTGTATGTCGCTAGGTAGAACCCACAGAACGTCTCAAACCATCCCTGCACATCCGCTGAGAATCCGGCCAGCCGTTCGCTGGTGAGGGGGGGGAGCCCATGGGTCCTGGGCACCAGCCACGTTCAGCAGCCACCGAGCGCCCCGTCGGGCTCCCACAGCGCCACCCGCCCCGGCAGCCGGCTACCTGTGATCTCGGTCACAGTTCCAGACGGGTGCTCCTGGAACAAGTCCGCACCACAGCACACCTGCTTTTCTTAGGTGGTTTCCTCCGGGATGAGCCCCCTCCTCCAAGATGAACGAAAGCAGCCCAGTGCTGGAATTCCAGTTTGTGACGCAACGGCTGCTCCAAGACAAGGCTCCAGCCTACAGTCACCCCAGCCGGCACCACTGAACTTGGCTCTCCCTCCCCCAATGCTGTAGCTCTGAGAGTTTCATCGGTGGCGTGTGTGTGTGTGCGCGCGCGCTCTTTTCCAAGTTGCTGGTGTTTCCTGCACAGAGTAGTTAGGGGTGTATGCCCTGGGGACCTCGGTCACTTCTCCCAGCTGGGGGATCCCGGGCCTCTGTGTCCTCGTGTGTGAAACTAGGTCATGGCAGAACAGTATGGCCTCCTGGGGCCGTGGAGAGGAAGAAATGAGACGTGTTGGGACACAATGCCACAGACTGTTCTGGAAGGAGAGCAGGCTTTCCCCAAAGTCTGGTTGATTGGGAGCAAAGCACAATCAGGGATACAGGGAGATGCTGTTTACTGATTTTTACAGGGACGACGAATTCTTCCCTTCTTCTTCTAATTCTAACGATCTTGAGAAAGTCTGTTTGCGCCTCTTCCCGAACCCTTGAAGCTCTCCCTCCTGAATAAACCAGTACCTTATTCTCGGAGTTCTTCTTTGTACTGGTGCGTGCGTTCCTGGCTGTTTTGTAGTCTGTGGCCGCGGGCATTATTTCCCGGGGCTGCCGTAACGAAGTATCACAAACCTCCTCCCTTACAGCCGCTACGCTGTATTCCCTCCCGGTTCTGGAGGCCAGAAGTCCAAACCAAGGTGTCACCGCCAGGCTGCCACGGAAGGCAAACAAAATACCCCTGACAGAGGCTCCCGGGAACAGAGCCGCACCTCACGTGCCTCTTCGCATCCAGACTTTTGTTCACTGTGTGGAATTATAGGGGGAACCTGCCGTCGTTAGTGAACTGGAGGATGCTCTTTCATGGGTGACGCAAGAACAGTTCAAAGGCTCTAGGGAAGGATCCTTCCTGCCTCTTCTGGTTTCTGGTGGCTCCAGGTGTCCCATGGCTTGTGGCCGCGTCCCTCCATCTCTGCCTCTGTCTTTACTTGGCCTTTTCCTCTGAGTGTCTTCTCCTCTTCTATCAAATCTCCCCGGAGTATCTCTTGTAAGAGTTATTGTCATTGGATTCAGGGTCCACTGGGATAACCCAGCACGATCTCCTCGTTGCACAATCCTTAACTCACGCCTGCAGATATATTTTTTTTTCTTCTAAATAAGGTTAGGGGCGCCTGGGTGGCTCACTTGGTTAAGCGTCCGACTTTGGCTCAGGTCATGATCTCACCGTTCGTGGGTTCGTGCCCCACGTCGGGCTGGGTGCTGACGGCTCGGAGCCTGGAGCCTGCTTCGGATCCTGTGCCTCCCTCTCCCTCCGCCCCTCCCCTGCTCACATTCTGTCTCTGTCCATCTTTCCAAAGTAAAATACACGTTAAAAAAACAAACGAAAATAAATACGTAAATAAGGTTAAAGCCACAGGTTCCAGGGATTAGGAAGCGAACGTGGCTTCTGGGGGAGCACCGTTCAACTCACCACCCTTGTGTGACCGCAAGTTTAGCAGCTTCACTGCACTGCCCACTAAGCAGCTCTCGGTCCCCGACACAAGCTGGGTATGGTGGGCCCTACTCAGCGTCTCCCAAGACCGGACGCAAGGTGTCAGCGAAAGGCACTCCCATCTGAGGCTTGGACTCCCCTTCGAACTCTTCCCAACGTGCTTGGGGCAGAGCTCAGTTCCTGCGGCTGGAAGACTGAAGCCCGGCCGCCAGCCAGGAGCTGCCCTCCGCTCCCAGAGGCCATCTGCGCTCCCCCCCCACAGCCAGCAAGGGTGAATCACATCCTTCTTATGTTTCGAATCTTATTTCCTCTTCGGCCGCCAGAGAAAACAGCCACCACGAAATGGGGACCTCAGTCGTACGTGGCGAGGAACTGGGTTCTGCCGACAACTCGAAGGAGCCTGGAGATGAGAGCTGGCCGGCTGCCGCCTTGATTTTGGCTTTATGAAGCGCCCGGCCGCGCTGACCACAGCTTCTAACCTTCAGAACCGGGAGACAGTAAATGGGGGTTGTTTTAAGCTGCTAAATTTATCATGATTTGTCATGCATCACGGAAGGCAAACAAAATACCCCTGACAGAGGCTCCCGGGAACAGAGCCGCACCTCACGTACCTCTTCGCATCCAGACTTTTGTTCACTGTGTGGAATTATAGGGGGAAACCTGCCATCGTTAGTGAACTGGAGGATGCTCTTTCATTGGTGACGCAAGAACAGTTCCACAAGTGTGAGTTAATGTGGGTGTGACCCACCTCTACTGTTCCCTGCAGAGCATTTCTCCATGACAACGGATACCGCCATACAAAACTACGTGGAATTTGGAACAACTCACCTCGTTGGTCCCTCCTTGAGAAGCATAGGTGAACGTGCATGTATATTTGTCCTGGAGACAAATTGAAGATGGAAAAAAGTTTGTTAGGAAGTGCTTACGGTGGATGTCCTTCCGAGGTCCAAAATCCAGAGGCTCTGGCTTTTGGGGCACGTGGGTGGCTGTCGGTTGAGCGTCCTACTTTAGCTTGGGTCATGATCTCACAGTTTGTGAGTTCGAGCCCCGCGTCGGGCTTGCTCCTGCCAGAGCATAGCCCGTTGTGGATCCCCTGTCCTCCTCTCTCTCTCTCTCTCTCTCTCTCTCTCTCTGCCCCTCCCCCCCAACTCATGCTCTCTCAAAAGTA